CTTTGGGAGAGTCCGAGCTCTGAATGCAAATCCACAGCCCAGGCGCCTCGCTCAGCGGAACGGGAGCTCAGGCAGGTCCCCCCCCCACACACACACGCACACAGCGAGCTCCCTTCCCGTTCCCCTGCAAGGCCTGCATGCTCGGAGCAGACCTTGGCGTAGGCGAGACGAGGCGATGGCCCAGGGGGCCGTGAGAACAGTCTGAATCCGAGCACTTACGTGCTCTCTCGAGACCCTGCGCTCGAGACCGTTGGCCGGGCTGGGCGGCCTGCAGGAGTTTATCCCGCCTTGCAGCCTCGGCGCTCAGCCATCCTGTGGGTTAGGCAGGTGAGCTACGCTTCCTCCCCCCTCCTGCGCTGTGGCCGGCCGGCGATGGAACATTCAGCCAGGCAGCCGCGAGCAGGTTGCGAAAATGTCTCACTTTGGAAACTTATTTTCCCCCCACGAAACAAAAGCTTCAAAGGCGGGGGAGGGGGAAGAAATGAAAGCAAAAGAAATATGGGGGTGACCGTCTCTCCGACAGGCAGAGTGAACACCACCCGCGCTTTGTTGTACATGCAATCAGACAGGAAGCAGACAAGAGGCAGCCAGCTACAAAGAGGCTAATTCAGTCAAGGCGTTTCAAACACATACGGCAGCCGGCTTTTAACGGCTGACATTTCACGCCAGGGCAACTGCCCCGTGCCACAGTCGGATATTTAAAGACACAATTAGCAGAGGGCACAGGGAGGTGAGCTAGACCTCGGGGCAGGAAGCATCAACGGGCAATGGGGAATTCATCTTCTAGAGACCCGTTTGTGGAAGCAAGTCCAGTTCGCAACCAGCATGGCAGAAGGGGGGGGGGAGGAAGGTACGAAGGAGAGCATCACACGTTGACACACACACGCAGGCTCCGGGTTCTGCTCGGCCAACGAAACATACGTGTCTCTTCCTGCTGCTGCTAATGGGCCCACCGCGTGGGTGTGCAGCGCCTGCACACGGACGGCTCAGCGCGTTGCAGTTTCAGACTGGAAACGACTCAAAAGTCGCATGTCCAGCGATTGTTACAATTCTTTAAACAAAAGAATTCGGAAGCCTCCCCAACAGACCCTGTTAGCATCCAGTTCCATGCACCATTCATCTTGATAACTGACTCGGCCATTACACGCTGGGCTTAGAATTAGCTCGTCTCCAAACTACTTACAAAGTTCCACTGACGAAGGGCTAGGGAGGGACCAAAGTGATGGAGTTTGGATCCGGGCTCCAACCTGAATTTACCCAGAGTTTGCGGGGAAGGTAGGTTAGCCAGGGCACAGATATGACACCTGGGTTTTTCCCCATCACTTACAGATTATGCATTGCTTCAACAACACTGCACTTGAAAGGCACCAACCTCAGAATGGGCGATTCATTTGCCATTCATTATAAATCATTAAGAAATGAGGCTGGGGAGTTCGGTTAGTCAAAAAGCCCAATTTTTTTCAGGCATGTTTCATTTTTCCACATCCCCATCTAACATCCCTGATCCGCTGCCTAATATGGAGCTGCCCCTGGGTGAATCATAGAATGCTAGGACTGGAAGGGACCTCGAGAGGTCATCGAGTCAAGTCCCCTGCCCTCATGGCAGGACCATCTAAACCAGGGGTTCCCAACCTGGGGTACACGTACCCTGAGGGGGTACGAGAAGCTTGTCAAGGGGGCACGGAGGAAGAGACCTCGAAACGTCATTGTGTCCAGTCTAGTCTAGTGTTTCTCAACCATTTTTTGCTCATGACCCCCTTCTGAGCCTCGTTTACCTCTGTGGCCCCTCTCATAGCCGCTGTTAGTTGGAAAAAAGGTACATAATTTACCTAATGTTCCATTTTTTCCATGTGGCCCCCTAGAGGTAGGGTGTGGCCCTTGGGGAGCCATAAGACCCATGGTTGAGAACCGTTGGTCTAGACCATCCCTGATAGACATTTATCTAACCTACTCTTAAATATCTCCAGAGATGCGGATTCCACAACCTCCTTGGGCAATTTATTCCAGTGTTTGACCACCCTGACAGTTAGGAACTTTTTCCTAGTATCCAACCTAAACCTCCCTTGCTGCAGTTTAAGCCCATTGCTTCTTGTTCTATCCTCAGAGGCCACCAAGATGAACAAGTTTTCTCCCTCCTCCTTCTGACACCCTTTTAGATACCTGAGTGCTGGTGACATCTGATGTGGTAAAAACCTTTGGGCTCCATGATTTTAAACCAAGATTTGCAGGCATGGTCCAGCGCCTCACCTTCATTTTTCAGACTTTTACCAGAAAGGAAGCCTTGATCAAAATGCACGATAAGAATGCTGAGGTTACCCAAGCGTTGTGGTTGTCGTTATTTGTGCAATTAAAGGGATACAGCACTAAACTCGCTGTTACAAAAAATCAACACCATTTTATTAAGTGGTTGATTTTCAAGATGCATGAAAAAAAAAATCAAAATCCAGACCATGAGGGGTCCTTTTTGGATTGCAGAAAAATATCAGCGTGGGGAGGGAGGGGAGGGACATCAACTTGTTACAAATGTTATGTTTGTAACAGAAAAATTGTCATGGTTGTGTCATGAAATGTCACCCTCCACCCCGAACCTCCAAATGCTTACGTACATGAGTACAGTTACCCGTAGGAGTAAAGTTACTCACATGTATAGATGTTTGCCACATTAAGCTGAAACAGTTAAAGGTGAAGAGATTTTAACTATCCAACTTACTTTCTTGAAAATAACTAGCTGCAGGGGGAGAGGGGGGGAATGAGACCAGAAGCTCTTCTATTCATCTGAGGGTTTGTAAAAGCTTTTTATTCCAAATGTAAACTTCAGGCCTACCTGAATTACGTGTCTCTTTAGATAAAGCTATACATCTAAGTGGAAATGCATTTTTAGAAATACATCTTCTTGCCTCCCACAAAAATCTTAGCTGTATGCCTAATGGAAGTGAAAAAGCATAAGCACCATCTATCACTGATATTGTAATACGTGTCTAATCCGCATATATACTTGCAACTACTTGGCAATCGTATCTCTCGCTACATTGTTTAGTGAGTTCCAGAATTGTTTCCATAGAACTTGTCTCCTGGAACAAAGTGGCTGTGTCTACACTGGGCCACTTATTCCGGAAAATCAGCCGCTTTTCCGGAATAAGCTGCGAGCTGTCTACACTGACCCTTGAATTTCCGG